GGAGGCGGGGGGAGCGCGGGGGAGGAGGAAGCCCGAGATGCGGGGTGGGGGGCGGGGTCCGCAGACCCTGCTCTCGCCCCCTCCTTGGAAGAGCTTAGCGGTCACCGGTTATTGAAGGCCTTGTTTGAAAAAGGCGGTATGCCAGCCATCGCCACCGCGGATCCTTCCAGCAGGCCCGCGGGGACTGCTATTCCCGCGTAACCGGTGGGAAAGCCTTCCCGGCATCAGAGGACGTTCAGCTGGGTTCCGGCTGTCGGTGGAGAAGGGGACGAGCAGCCCAGGCGTGGGAGGGAGACCCGGCACGGCATCCACGGCGACCTGAGGCGCCGAATGTCGTGGGGAGGGGGCGTGAGCGTGGCTGAGAAGGGCCGAAGGGTCTGGCGGGCCCTGGGCCTGGCTCCCTCCAACAAGCCGGCTGTCACAGGCCAAGATGTCCAGGGATTCTCTGGGTGGACCACCGTGTGACACGATCAAAGGCGGGAAGAAGACTGGAAGTGCTTGCCAGGATCCTAGCGGGAGGCGATGAGGGCCTGGATCTGGGGGTGGCTCCGGGAGTGGAGAGGAAGTTGAAGAGGAGCTCCCCGGCTCAGGCGATCCTCCCACCGCAGCCTCCCGAGTAGCTGGGACTACAGGGGCACGCTAACATGCCTAATTTTTTGATTATTTTTTTGTAGAGATGAGGTCTCACAATTGTTGCCCAGGCTGGTCTCAAACCCCTGGACTCAAGCGATCCTCCTGCCTCGGCCTCCCAAAGTGCTGGGATTACAGGCATGCCCCACTGTGCTCCGCCAAAAAGGAGCTTGTTTTAAAAAACAACGAAGTTTGTTTTGCCATAATCACAGATTCACAGAGGATCAAAAAAAGTAAACAGGAAAATCTCATGGACCTTTCTACTCAGTTTCTCCCGTGGTAACATCTTGCATAACTACAGTGCGCTATCAAAACCAGGAACTTGGCATTGATACGATCTACACCAGAAGGAGATATTCTGGAAGACTAACTGGTAGACTTTAGATAGAGCTGGCTGGGGAGGGGGTGTCCCAGAACCGGTATGTGCTCTGTTGGCTTCCCAGGCCTGCAGCCTGGATCCATCCCACCAGCTTTAGGCCGGACGCGGTGGCTCATGTCTGTAATCCCAGCACTTTGGGAGGCCGAGGCAAGAGGATTGCCTAGCCTATGGGTTTGAGACCAGGCTGGGCAACTTGGTAAGACCTCATCTCTACAATCAATAAAAATTAGCTGGGTGTGGTGGCATGTGCCTGGAGTACCAGGGTTGGAGATCCCAGGGTCAGGCACTTCCATCCCCACCCGGAGCCTGCCTCTCCTGACAGTCCAGGCTCGCTGGGCTCAGAGGGTCAGAAGAGGAGTGCCACTCAGAGGAGTGCCACTGCGCAGAGACTGGATGACAGACAGACACGCCCACAATCTTGGGTGAGGAAGCAGGTCCAGTCAGAGGGCAAATGGAGCAGTCTCATTTCCTTCCTTTTTGACCTTTGCGGGAAACTGACATTGACTCAGCTGTGGGTGGTGGGGTGGGGAGGGCTGCGACAGGGTGTCTGGAGCATCTCGAGGCTTTTCCTCCCTATCTTGTTACTTAGAACTGCAGGCCCAGTCAGGAACCACTTTCCCTCCCATCTAGAGACAAAGCTGTACTTTTTTTTTTTCTTTTGAGTTGGAGTCTCACTCTGTCGCCCAGGCTGGAATGCAGTGGCATGCTCATCCTTGACCTGCTGGGCTTAGGTGATCCTTCCGCCTCAGCCTTCCAAGTAGCTGGAACCACAGGCACGTGCCACCACACCCAGCTAATTTTTATTGATTGTAGAGATGAGGTCTTACCAAGTTGCCCAGACTGGTCTCAAACCCATAGGCTAGGCAATCCTCTTGCCTCGGCCTCCCAAAGTGCTGGGATTACAGACGAGCCACCACGTCCGGCCTAAAGCTGTACTTTTTTTTTTTTTTAATTGGAGTCTCTCTCCATCACCCAGGCTAGAGTACAGTGGCACACTCACGGCCACCCCAGAGTCTACCTGCTGGGCTCTGGCAGTCCTTCCGCCTCAGCCTTCCAAGTAGCTGGAACCCCAGTTACTCAGGAGGCTGAGGCAGAAGGATCGCCTGAGCCCAGGAGGTCAAGGCTGTAGTGAGCTGGGGTCACACCACTGCAACCTGGGCGACAAGTGAGACGACTCAAAATAAAGAGAGAATAATTTCATTCACATAGCATTTTGCATGTGACATTTATTGATCCAGGAGCTTTGCATTTAATTTAATCATCTTACATCCCCATCCCAAAGATTAGGCGACATGCTCTAGGTGGTCTAGGAAGTTAAGTGACCTTCCCAGGGACACAGGTGGAGAGTGAGCCTGGGGACAAATGCAGGTCTGACTGCAACCTATGGATGTGGGTCAAGAGGGGGCAAGAGTAGCCTCTCTTTGTACAGCTCAGTCTAGACTACCATATTCTTTGACATCCTTGAGTTGGAGTCTCATTCCATCGCCCAGGCTGGAGTGCAGTGGCACGCTCACAACCACCCCAGCGTTGACCTGCTGGACTCCGGCGATCCTTCTGCCTCAGCCTTCCAAGGAGCCGGAACTACAGACTTGTGTTACCATGCCCGACTGATTTTTGATTTATTTTAGAGATGAAGTCTCGCCGAGTTGCCCGGGCTGGTCTTGAACCTGCGGGCTCAGGCAATGCACTCACCTCGGCCTCCCAAAGTGCTGGGATGACAGTCTGAGCCACCAAGCCTGGCCCAGTTGACCTTTAAGACAGGTCAACTTGTACAACAAAGTGAGACCCTGACTCAATAAAATAAGTAAGTAAAAGGGTGGATCCTGAACCAGCAACATTAGGAATGCAAAGTCTTAGACTTCATCCCAGACCTGCTACTCAGGAACTCTGCAGGTGGGGTCCGGCAATCTGTATCTTAAAAAAAAAAAAATTATTTTGGAGACAAGATCTCACTATGTCACCCAGACTGGAGTACAGGGGCACTATCATAGCTCACTGCTGCCTCATTTGGCTTAAGCAATCCTCCCTCCTCAGCCTCCGAAGTAGCTAGGGCTACAAGCATGTGCCACTATGCCCAGCTAATGTATTTTTTAGTTTTGTATGTGTGTCTCACTATGTTGCCCAGCATGGTCTTGAATTCCTGGCTTCAAACAATCTTCCCACTTCAGCCTCCCAAAGCACTGGGATTACAGGCATGAGTCACTGCACCCAGTTCAGCAATCTGTATCTTTTTTTTTTTTGAGTCAGAGTCACTCCATCACCCAGGTCGGAGTGCAGTGGCACGCTCATGGCCACCCCAGCATCGACCTGCTGGGCTCCAGGGATTCTTCCGCTCCAACCTTTCAAGTAGCCGGAAGTACAGGCACGTGCTATCACGCCTGGCTAATTTTTGATTTATTGTAGAGAGAGGTCTCACCAAGTTGCCCAAGCTGGTCTCGAACCTGCAGGTTCAGTCAATCCATTCGCCTCAGCCTCTCAAAGTGCTGGGACTACAAACTGAGCCATCAACCCCACCCCCCCGCAATCTGTGTCTTAACAAGCTCTCTAATTGATTCTCATGTACACTAAAGGTTAAAAACCACTGATTTAAACTAATGTGAGCCCCAGATATATGTTATTTGCAGCTCCAAGCTCCTATTAGAGTGATTCTTAACTGTGGCTGCATATTGGAATTGATATAATGCTATATCTAAACATCACACCCAGGGATTCTAATTTAAGTGGTCCAGACTGGACCTGATGAAGATTTGTTTTTTTTTTAAGTTGGATTCTCCAGTCCAGCCTTGACCTGCTAGACTCCAGCGATCCTTCCACCTCAGCCTTCCAAGTAGCTGGAATTACAGGCGCGTGCTACCATGCCCGGCTAATTTTTTTGATTTATTGTAGAGATGAGGTCTGGCCAAGTTGTCCAGGCAGGTCTCGAACCCGTGGGCTCAGGCAATCCACTCACCTCAGCCTCCCAAAGCGCGAGATTACAGGCTGAGTCACCAAGCCCGGCTGTTGTGTTTTTTTGTTTTTTTTTTGAGTCGGGGTCTCACTCAGTCACCCAGGCTGGAGGTCAGTGGTGTGATCACGGGTCACTGCATCCTCGACCTCCTGGGTTCATGTGATACTCCCACTTCAGTCTCCAGAGTAGCTGGGACTACAGGCGCACATCACCATGGCCTGGCTAAGTTTTTGATATTTTTATACAGATGAGGTCTCACTATGTTGCCGAGGCCGGTCTCAAACTCCTAGGCTCATGCGATCCTCCCACCTCGGCCTCCCAAAATGCTGGGCGTGCAGGTGTGAGCTACTGTGCCTGGCCAAGAAGATTTGGTAAACCTTCGCAAGTTACTCAAATGTAGGTTTAAATTTGAGAAGCAGCCGCAAGGGATCCAGGAAGCAAATGCACGTATGTGTGTAAAAGACGATGTTCTCCTGGACCAGGACGGTGACTGCGGGGGCGGATGCTCAAATGGCCAGGTTTCGGTGACAGATAGTGTCGGGCAATGGGGTGTGGGCAGGAGCTGACGATGACAGTTGGCAGCTTGCACAGTGTCTGGACGGTGGTGCCCGTTCTGGGAATGGGGAGCACGGAGAAGACCAGGTTTGAGTGGGAAGATGGTGGAATGACGAGTTCTGTATTGGCTAAGTCAAGGTCAAGGGAGAAGTCAGGGTGGCAGGCAGACGTGTGGTTGTCAAGTTCTGGGGAGACAGTGAGGCAGACACAGCAGGGAGAGAGTCTTCAGCAGAGAGGCTGAAGGGGATGGCATGGTCCAGAGCCAAAGAGGGAGAAGGGACATGCTGGGAAAGAGGTTCTCTCGGCGGGGACCAGGAAGGCACCGTCAGGGAGGAGAAAAAAGAGGCTGGTGAGAATTCTGGACTCCCAGTGAGAGAGTGATTCAAGAAAGAGGCCCAAGAGCCTGGGAGAAGCCAGAAGAGCACTGCAAAGCGGGCCCTGGATTTCGCAAGGAGGGGTCAGTCCAAGGTGAGCTCAGTGAGAGTGGAGTCAGCACAGGGTGAGGCTGGGGTGCAAGGGAAGAGGCAGAGCCCAAGTGCAGGGGGCTGAGGGGTGAGAGGGTGTGGAGGAGGGAGAACAAGCCAGTGTAGATGAATCAGGAAGAAGCCAGCTGGAGGCACGCAGGGTCAAGGGGATTTTTTTTCTTTTGAGTTGGAGTCTCATTCTGCCACCCAGGCTGAAGGGCAGTGGCGTGCTCATGGCCCCCGCAGCCTCGACCTGCTGGGCTCAGGCGATCCTTGTGCCTCAGCCTTCCAAGTAGCTGGAACTACAGGGGTGTGCCACCATGCCCAGCTAATTTTTTTTTTTTTTGAGAAAGCAGGATTTATTGAGAGGACAGAAAACCCACAGTTGGGGGTTGCCCGCCCGGCTAATTTTTTAGAGAGAGATCTGACCAACTTGCCCAGGCTGGTCTTGAACCCTGGACTCAGGCAGTCCTCTTGCCTCCACCTCTCAAAGTGCTGGAATTACAGGCTTGAGCCATCATGCCTGGCCAAGGGGATTTTTTTTTTTCAGTTGGAGTCTCACTGTCACTCAGACTGGAGTGCAGTGACCGTTCCTGGTCACCGCCGCCTCGACCTGCTGGGCTCCGGCAATCCTTCCGCCTGAGTCTTCCAAGTGGCCGGAACTACAGGTGCGCGCTACCACGCCTGGCTTATTTTTGATTTATTGTAGAGACGAGGTCTTGCCAATTGCCCGGACATGTCTCAAACCTGCGGGCTCAGACAATCCACTCGCCTCGGCCTCCCAAAGTGCTGGGATTACAGGCTGAGCCACCAAGCCTGGCCAAGGGGATGTTTTATGGGGAACTTTCTGGCAGTGTGGGGGTGGGTACAAACAGCAGAGCACACATTGCCAGGATTCTCCCTTTCAGAGAGCCACTTCAAGCCTGTCTGCTGCAGCAAACAGCACATAAAAAGCTGGTGCACCTGCCGCCTCTGCAGCAGAGACATGGCCAAAAGCAGAGTCTGGCAGTCTGGGTGGGCACCTCTGAGCTGCTCACTAACCATGCAAGCTTGGTCAAGGGACTTCACCTCTCTGCACCTCAGTCTTTCATCTGTAAAATGGGCATGATAGTAATAATCTCTTACATAGTGTTTTATGACAGGCATGTGCGTATAAATATATGTCTGTATATTTATGAGTCAGGGTCTTGCTCTGTCACCTAGGTTGGAGTGCAGCGCCAAGGTCATGGCTCACCACAGCCTCGACCTCCTGGGCTCAGGCGAGCCTTCCACCTCAGCCTCCTGAGTAGGTGGGACTACAGATGGTGAGCCACCACAGCTGGCTAATTTTTTTTTTTTTTTTTTTTTTTTTGAGTTGGAGTCTCACCCTGTCACCCAGACTGGAGTGCAGTGGCTGCTCCTGGCCACCACATCTGCGACCTGCTGGGCTCCGGCCTTCCAAGTAACTGGAACTACAGGCACGCACTACCACACCCGGCTCATTTTTTAATTTATTGTAGAGATGAGGTCTCGCCAAGTTGCCCGGGTGGGTCTCGAACCCGCGGGCTAAGGCAATCCACTCACCTCAGCCTCCCAAAGGCACGGGATTACAGGCTGAGCCACTGAGCCCGGCTGAATTTTTTGATTCTTAAAAAAGAGATGAGGTCTCACTGTGTTGCCCAGGCTGGCCTCAAGCAGTCCTCCCGCTTTGGCCTCCCAAAGTGCTGGGAATACAGGTGTGAAGTGTGGCTGATATTTATAAACATATGTGTATATAAATTTACCTTTAAATGCTCACAACAGGCCTATGGGGTAGGTGTGAGGATTAGGCGAGTTAATATATACACAATGCTTAGCATAGTGCCTGGCACGTGGTAAATACTAGATATACATGCAATCATTTTTCTTATTTTTCTTTCACAGGAAGGTGGGAAATGGAAAGTCCACAGAAGATTCTGTCTGCTGTTTAAATTCTGCAAATGTTTCCAGAAGTTCTGAGTGTAAGGGGATTCCGACATGCCAGGCTTGAATGTCAGCTCCACAGGGAGAGGGATACAGCAGTGAACACAGTCTGCACAGCCAAGACCACGGGTTGGTCCATAATATGCCCTCAACAAATATTTGCAAAATTGATAAATGAAAGGATAAATGAAGGATTGGGGCCTCTGAGACCGTCCACTCCAACTCTCCACCTATATTAAGACATCTTGCCGGGCTCGGTGGCTCAGCCTGTAATCCCGCGCCTTTGGGAGGCTGAGGGGAGTGGATTGCCT